AGACACTTCCATCAAACTGGTTAACATAGCCTTCATGTAACTTTCTTAGTTATTGTGTTAAAACGTTCATATTCTACTGATAGAAAGATTCACTTGTACTCTTGTAAGATGAACCACAGAAGTGAACCCTCGAATCCCTCTCCCTCTACCCTCTCCCCCCTCCCTCTCCCCTCCCTGTATCCTTAGGTTGTTATTAGGTTATAGCTTTCATATAATATACATTCACATTGTTGTGCAACCATTACCACTATACTTCTCTAGAGCTATTTCATCTTCCCGAACTGAAACCCTGTACCCATTAAACAATAACTCCCTCCATATTTGTTTTTTAAGTAGAAAATAATTAAACCAAAACTTAAAAGCATTGTCCTAAACATCCAGATCCCCATCTACGACAGGCTGCTGGCCAAGGCAGAAAAGAGATCCAGGTCAGCACAGGAAGGAACCTGGAGTTTGCATTAGAAACCTTAGTTCTGCCCCTCATGGCGGGCAGTAACCTGGAGAAGACATGGAACACTTGATTTCCAGTGATGCCAGATGGGGCCCTGGGGACACCTGCTTCTCTGACTTCTGTGCTGTGCAGGAGCCATGGAAGACTTCCACTACAGTTCCCTCTCTGAAATCTGCTAGGTTGTATCTCATCTCCTGCATCTAAGAAGAAAGAGGAAACTAAGGGCCAAATGCAGTTGGAGAAGCGGTCTCATTATGTCCCCAACCACCCTGAGAAGGAGGAACTCTCAGCCCCATTCCTACAGAGGAGGACGCTGTGGCCAGGTTCCCTCTCCCAACAGCAGCCAGAGCATCAGCAGGACCCTGAGCAGGACGGGAGGCCCAGGTCTGAAGGATCCCACAGGAAAGCACCTCTGCTCTTGCTTCACTCAACATTTCTGGAATTACTGCTCTTTCCCTGACACTGCCCTCAACTTTCTGGGTTTCTAAACACTGGGGGCCACTTCTTAAGGGTCCAGGGCACCTCTAAATGAGATGATGAGTTTCATGTGATTGGCACAGATTCTGGGCCACAGGAAGCACTTAGTAAATGGTAGCTATTTCCAATGACCAGCTCTGTGATCTTGAACAAGTTACTCAATACCTTAAAGCAGCGGTTCTCAACCTGTGGGGTCATGACCCCTTTGGACTGTATTAAAGGTTTGCAGAAGGTTGAGAACCACTGCCTTAAAGCCTCAGTTTTGCCATCCCTAACATGGAGTAATAATAATATCTACCTCATAGGATGGTTATGAAGTAGTGAGGGGGTAAATGAAGAAATGCTCAGAAAGTACTTAGAAAACTACCTGAACCACAGTAGGTACTCAATAAAAACTTATTCTTATTAGTTTTATCACATTACTTAGAAACTAAAAGAAGCATCTTTCTGGACGCTGTGCTTTTTGTGGGGGCCGGGGGATGGAGGGATGGTTGTTACCAGGCCTTGGTGTCTCTGAGACCTGGATTGGTATGAAAGGGTCATTAATCAGGCAATAGAGAAGCCAAGGGCATAGGGTGGCTCTGTCTATGGAAGTTTAAAAGTCTCTTTAGTGTAAAGTCCCTTTCTTATGAGTAAAATTGCAAAAACATCCACATGTGGGGGATGTCAAGATGCAATGACCCAATTCCTGCCTTTGGGGACTATATAATCTGGTGAGAAAGAGAAAGGGGAAAGTCTGGTGAATGTAATAAAATATAGCCAGGCAGGGATAAAGGTATGTGCATCATAAATATTTCTTTTCACAAAGGTTTCCAACTCCTGGGAGGAGCACTCTCATTCCCCTTCACTTCCCTGGATGTAATAATTTGGCATAAACCTACCAATTCACCTTACCTATAAATCAGACCTACATCATCTTTATTTCATTTCAGTAGAGCCCTTCTTCCAGGACAGCGTTTGTGAGCAAAATGTATTTGGACAAGACTTTCTCCAGAGGGTCACATTATACCAAGGAAATGAATTGCCT